GACTGTGTGCCTGCAGGACCGTGTGCCTGCAGGACTGTGTGACTGCCCTGAAAAAACCTCCACTCTCGTCATGGCTTCTGAACCTGGAACCCTAAACTAAACCCCTAAAAGTGCAGCCACCAAGGCCCAGGCTGCGACAGTCCCGCAGTCCAACAGACCTCAGGACAGCGGGATTTCTGCATGAGCCAGATTCAGCTAGATACACAATACCTCAATCAATATTTTTTTTGTAAACGCCACAGATATGAGACTTGAGCTTGGCAGCTTAGACATTGAGGCACAGGCTGTATTGTCGATGTTGCATGCAGATGGCCCCCACGACCTGATTCAGTCAAAAGTAAACCAAAACTGGCCTGTGTATAATTCCTGAACCTGACAAACTCTACTAGTCTAAAACCCTAAACCCTAAGCCCTACTACTCTCTACCAAGCTCTAAACCCTGGCACACACACTGATATCCCAACAGTTTTGTGAACTCTTGACCTTACCCAACTCTGATTCTCAAATATGTGCCCCATTATCTATCATCCTAAACCCTAAACCCAAAACCTTTTAAAACTTTAAACTCATTAAACCCTGAACCTAAACCCTACAAGTCTGTCTCTATTCTTATTCTTGGTCTTATTGGACAGATTGTCAATTGAATCTTTACCTAACCATAAACCCCACACTCTTGTCTTCTAGACTTCAAGTATTCTACTTAATGATATTATTATAATTTTGAATTGAGACAATACATGCTACTCTTTGGCTGAATCCTAAGCCTTCAAAAGGCTGAAGCCCCCTAAACCCTAAACCCTAAATCCTACTTATTATTAATAAATAATAAGGAACCCACCTCTGCACGAAGGAGTGCTGCCACCACCTGTGCAAAAGGTGGGTACAGGTATTAGTAAGTAATTGGGGTTGTAAAATCAGGGTTTGGGGATGATATTTTAATTACAGACCTGACCAATCTCAATTCCTAAACCCTACTGCCCAATCAATCTCTGAACTACAAAACCCTAGATCTATAATAATTACTATGGGCTGGGGACTGGCTTCATCAAATTGCGAATGGGGGCTTAGGCTTAGAGGCTTTAGGGCTCAGGGTTTAGAGTTTCAGGTGCGCTTTTTAGGGTTTAGGGTTTGGGGTTGGCCAGTTCCAAAAGGGTTTGGGGTTTAGGGTTGAAGTATTCTCATCAGAAGCTGAAATCCCAGAGGCCTTCGGGGTGGTAGTGGTGGGGGCGTCATTCAAGATCTTAGCACTTGTCAATGTCAAGTAGATCGAGATACTATAAAATCTACCACCCCTAGCTGTAATTGAGATCAGATCTGATTGCCAGCATTGTCCTAAAATCTCTTAGAAGTATATAACCCAGAAGCTTCAGATAGAGCCTCTGTGTTGAAGTTTAAAGCTTCTAGGGCTAGGCAGTGTTTCTTATGTATGGTGTGTTTTCGAGGTTTTAGGGTTTAAGTGTTTGTTATCCTATGAGGAGCTTGGATTAGAGGTCCAAACCCTAACCAGGTGCACAAGAGTGCTTCTAATATGACGAATTGCAATCATATCTACAATGTCCTAAAATTCAATTGCCAATCAACTCCTGGTTCACTAATGGTCTGCAGGCATATGATTAATAAACTGTGGAACTATTATAATTACTACACCCTGACCAGCTCGATGTCGATGATGTCAAGCGCACTGGTTAGCAATGCCATATGCACCTGCGAGTTGTGCCGACCAGGCCGCAGTAATGGTCGTTGTAGGGCTTCCCGGGGTTGGAAACCCACACAGGAGCCAAGTCATTGCGATCGTCGCCACTGGCACCACTGGTGCGTCCATCTGAGCGATCGTCCAGTGCGTGGTTCTTCTCCCACCAAGCTCTCAGAGCTGTTTTCCACCAGTAAAACCGGTCTTCCCACCGGTGCCAATGTGGCTGTCACTTATTCTTAGTCTGATGATGTGGATTACAAAGGGCATGATTTCAGGACTGCAGGACTGTGGGACTGTGGGAGAAGTTGAGCCTCTGCTTAGTTGCTGAGTGGAGATTTATAGTGGGCACTATTATCCCAAAAATTCAGCTACTCAGTCTGGCTTCAGTCTAATGACATTAACCTAATGTTAGGGCTTAGGGTGTTAAGGTCTTAGGGATTGCAAAACTCTGCAGAAAACTAACTCTCTGATCCCTAAAAACCCTGATTCCCTAAACCTAAAACACCCAAATCTTCAACCCTAAACCCTATAAGGACTAAGTGCTACAAACCCTAAACACTACTAGACCCCTGACCCCGAGCCCTAAAACCCTTAATCCAGAACCCCTAAATTCTAAACCTAAAACCTATAAACTCTAAATCCTAAATCTGAAACTGAAACACTAAACTACTAAATACCTCTGACCCCGAGCCCTATAACCCTAAATCCGGAACCCCTAAGTTCTAAACCCAAAACCTATCAACTCTAAATCCTAAATCTGAAACTGAAACACTAAACTACTAAACCTCTGACCCCGAGCCCTATAACCCTAAATCCGGAACCCTTAAATTCCAAACCCAAAACCTGTAAACTCTAAACCCTAGACCCGAAACTAAACACTACTAAACCTGTGACCCCGAGCCCTAAAACCCTAAATCCGGAACCCCTGAATTCTATACCTAAAAACCACTCACTATAACACTATATGCTAAACCTGAAACTAAACACTACTAAATGTCTGACCCTGAGCCCTAACACCCTTAATCCGGAACCCCTAAATTCTAAACCCCAAACCTATAAACTCTAAATCCTAAACCTGAAACTGAACACTACTAAACCTCTGCCCCCGAGCCCTAACACCCTAAATCCGGAACCCCTAAATTCTAAACCCAAAACCTATAAAATCTAAACCCTAAAACTGAAATCAGGCACTGCCTCTTCCCACCAGCCGGCAGCCGCCGGCGTGGGGGGCCACAGCCTGGTTAGGGTTTAGAATGTCGGGTTTAGGGATTAGGGTTTTTTAGGGTCTAGTAGGGTTTAGGGTTTCAATGGCAGGGTTCTCTTTTAAGCTCCTGCCCCTCCGAAATAGTAGTAACTAGTAGTAGTACGACTACTAGTAGTAGTAACAGTAGGACTAGTAGTCGTAGTAGTAGTCCTGGTGGTGGTGGTGGTGGTGGTGGTGGTTTGCGCTGATACATCAGGTAAAGCTTCTGATCTTCTGGGGCAGCTTGGCCTCGGATGCGCAGACATCAATGAATGGTAAAGGTAAGTCTTCAGATCTGCAAACACGGTTTGCGCTGATGCATGAGGTAAAGCTTCTGATCTTCTGGGTGCATTTCTGCACAGGTCTTGGCCCGTGGTATCACTTCAGAAGTGAAGACATCAATGGTAGAGGTAAGCCTTCTGATCACCTGTGTACACAGTTTGTGCTGGTGTGTAACAATATCAGCCAGTGTCAAGTATTCAATAAAAAGTATTAGCTAGTTAGTATTTAATAGTCGAGAATCAGGGAACCCCAAAGCATCAATCCTTAACAAGTAAGTAGGGTATGGGAATCCCAGCACTATGTGGCCACTGGTTTTCAACATTATGGGGCCTACTATACCTGAATTCTAAACCCCCAAACCCCAAACTCTCGAATCTTGAAATGGTATTTATATCCGAATCCCCAACCACACCCTACAGAGTCAATCCGGAAAGCATGGAATGTGAACCCTAAACCCTAAACCCAAATGAAACTCTAAACCCTACTAAACCTCACTAACCCTAAATCCCGAAAATAATTTAAACCCTCCTGCTGTGGCCTCGAAGAGGCCACAGCAGCGCAGCTGGGCAGAGCCTGCCAGGCTGAAGGTTTGGGTTTAGGATTTAGGGTTTAGGGTTTCTATGTGCGAGGGCGAACACGCTCTAGGGGATTGAGGGGATTGGGGATTCAGGGGTTTTAGGTTTAGAGTTTAGTAATTAGGGTTTAGGGTTTCTATGTGCGAGGGCACTTTTTCAGTGCAGCATGGCAGCATCCAGAATCAAGTAAAATTAGTCGGGCACCCAGCCTGAAACTGTGCTAAGTATATTAAGTTAATCAAACTGTAGGCCTGTACGACTGCAGGACTGGGCAGCCCTCTGCTTTTAGTCATGGGGTCAATCTCGAACACACAGAGTCATGTCTCATGTACGAGAAAGAAAAAGGGCACAGTGACCATCTGTGCAGGAAGATCCTAATACAGGCCACAAGTCCCACAGTCCGTGCAAGCAGTTGAGTCTAAGATGACTGCTGTATATGATGACATCAGTAAAGACTGCAGGACTGTAAGCCTGTAGGACAGTGCCACATCACTGGGCATACCGCACACACTGCATCAGGTTTTCCGGGATCTTTTCCGGATCCAACTTGACAAGAGTCAGCTTCGGAGAAACGCGTGAGTGGAATGACGGCTCGTGGCTCCTGAGTAAGCAGCAAAACAGTAAGCAGTAAAACACAAAACACATGCATGTGTGACAAACTGCTGCAAGCAAGCTACATCTCCAGCAGAAAAGCACGGCGTACAGGATCATGTTTGGGAGTCACCACAGCCATGCGGTCCAGCTCCCACTTTGTGACTTGCCTCAGCTTGCACAAACACATACCAAAAATCAAGACTGAAGGACTGCAGGACTGCAGGACTGTTGGTCTGGGGCACATGAAGCTCTTTTGCACACCGGGGATAGCTGTGATCATCCAGTTGGGCCTGAGGACCTGCTTCTCTGCCCGCTCGATCTTGAACTCATCCTGGGATGCATCACTGAGTTACACGCATGACTTGTATTCATTTTGTTTGGTTGTGGGGAGATAGGGGAAACAATTAAATGTTGTACCAAGTTTCAGCTGAATTTGTCGGGCTCCAGATGTAGTTGCTGCCTGAGTACTTGAAGTGGCCGTCGACCTGCTGCCTCAGAAATTCGAACCAAGATGTCATGTCTGATCACAATTGCACAGCATCAAACTACACAACTGTCATGTATCTTTTCTGTCAAGCAGCTGCAAGATTTTCCAAAAGAAAATCGACGGCACTTGGAAGGCTTCCCCGTCTTGGATCGGCTGTCTGTAGAATACCCAAACGAAATGCCCCTTGACAGGCGTCCAGAAGCTGAAACAGTCATCTTGCGTAAACAAGTCCGTGGGACCTCAGGAAAACACCAGTGACAAATATAGTTTGATACAAACACAGCACATCTCTCCTCCGACTAACTGAAACAAGTCACTGAAGGGGTCTTTCATGGCCTTGACCACCCTGAAGTTGCCATTGATGAACTCCTGGCGCTCCATCTCCAATGACCAGCCAAAAGGGGCCTTGTACGAGTCCCAGCAGGATCCGAACCACCTGTTGAGAAAGTGGACTGGGGTCTCCTCACAGAGGGCAAGAAACAAAATACATATCACCAGCAGTGCAGTAACACACAATGGTGTAGTTTCAGCACTCGTCCTGTCTTGGCATAGGCATTGTGACTGACGACTGGGGGCCTGTGGACTGTGTGCCTGATCGACCGAGAGTTCCATTGCCATCAGGTCCCCTGGGTGCAAGAGCACCCACCAAAATCATAGCATCACGAAGGATGAGGATAGTGTCATCCACCTTAGATGGAAAGATCTTGCCACTAAGTGATGAGCGCTCACAACAACCAACACAACAATCGTCTCATATAACATCATGGAAGGCACATGCTTGGTAAGACTGAAATCCAGGCCCTTCGGGTACAGATAGTCTGTGGCACCTCTGGATTGGCCGAACCCCTCAAAGCCGTGCTGGCACCAGTGGTAGACAATGGCCGAAGTGCACGGGATGTTGCTTTCCAAAATATCCTCAGTCACACAGTCTCTCCATTCCTCAGTCACACAGTCTCTCCATTCACAGTCTCTAACATGTATTCTTGTGACAAGCCACATCCAGCCACATGTTGAACTTGGCACGCTGCATCTCGTGCGAGAGGAACTCGATCATACCTTAGATCTAACTGCCAGTTGGACTTCGACAGAGAGCAAACAGCAACTCGACTTGACAAGCTGCACTCCTCCCTCATGTCCGAAGGCTTTGTGCTTGGACTGTAAGACTGCAGGACTGTCGGGAACAGGGTCAATGCCGTCTTACCTCAGATTCCAAGCAGAAATTGACAATGACATGATATGATCAACAGACTCATATTTGCATACAAAAAACAGCGCATAGCAGTCTGGAGCATGTTCTGGTCCAATTCTATCGGGCCCCACTGGGTTTCCTTCTGCAAGACCATGGAGATCCACTTGAACTGGAAAGAAGGATCCACTTTCGGAATCTGCGTGGGAGTGGATCCATTCCTCATTACACACAATGATACAAATCACATACGCAAGCAAGTGTTCAAGAACATGACTGTGCATATCTTGAAATGAGAATCCTGAGATGCCACTGGAAATACTCCCAATCCAGAAGCCGGGTTGGAGGAGAGCTGGACCGCATGCCCAACAAAGCCTGTTCTGCACCTGTGCCATGGGAGATGCTGCTGAACACACACAGTGAATCTGAATCTGCTAGACTACGCTTGCCCATGTTCCTACCTGCTCTGTCTGCACCTCCATAGCCACCAGGGGTTGCATCCGGGGCCGACGGAGCAAACACATCATCATGAAGATCCAGCTCGGGCTCTGGTGGATCGAAGGATGTCAGGTGCAAAACCTGTCCTATGGTTGTCTCTCCCGACACCGGGCCTGCTGACTCTCGGACTGCTGGGACTGCAGACTGCGAGACAGCGGACTGCGAGACAGCGGACTGCGAGACAGCGGACTGTGAGACTGCAGCTGGCTGTGAGACTGCTGCAGACTGCGGGACTGTCTCGACTGGCTGTCCTCGGCACCTCAGTTCCACCTCAAGGGTATGACTTTCCCGCCCCGTCAACTCCAACAAGTAGTTGTCTCTCTTCTCCCGAAGGAGCGTTGATGCCACACTCCCTGTGGAGATAGGCTGATCGGCACCCCGGCCCTGCCGATGCAACACGAAAAGAATCATCTGGTGATTGTGAAGCTGCAAGAACCCGGAGAAGTCCCAGACCTTGGTATAGCCACAGGCACAGTCTTACAGTCCTACAGTTCACACATGACACATGCACAAAGAAGTCAAGGAACAGGGGTTGGGCCAGGGATTGCATCAGACCTTTTGGTCCCATCTTCGTGACTGCTTCCATAGATGGACACATAGTACGGCGACTGGTCGTTCAGGCGATCTTTGCACTTCTTGATCACAAACTCCACAGTGTAGTTATGCATGGAGGCCATCACACAAAGTGGGGGGCGAATTCACGCCCGAGACAGACTGTGTGACAGTAAGACTGCAACTGCACTGTAAGCAGAAGATGCTACGGTATGATGCACAAATGACAAAATCTCCTAGACCCAAACAAACCCAAAACCCTACGATACCTAGTAAACTCTTGCACCTAATCTCCTAGACCCAAACAAACCCAAAACCCTACAATACCTAGTAAACTCTTGCACCTAATCTCCTAGACCCAAACAAACCCAAAACCCTACAATACCTAGTAAACTCTTGCACCTAAACTCCTAGACCCAAACAAACCCAAAACCCTACGATACCTAGTAAACTCTTGCACCTAAACTCCTAGACCCAAACAAACCCAAAACCCTATGATACCTAGTAAACTCTTGCACCTAAACTCCTAGACCCAAACAAACCCAAAACCCTACGATACCTAGTAAACTCTTGCACCTAAACTCCTAGACCCAAACAAACCCAAAACCCTACAATACCTAGTAAACTCTTGCACCTAAACTCCTAGACCCTAACAAACCCAAAACCCTACCAGACCTAATAAACTCTCACAAATTACACCTAATAAGCAACCCCAAAACCCTACAATACCTGCCTAACAAACTCTTACACCTAGATGGGAGTTTCCGAAAATTAGGGGTAGCTTACTTAGGGGTCCGGGTCCTTTAAGGATACTGTTATATTAGGGTACTATACAGGGATTCCCTAATTTTCGGAAACTCCCTCAAATTCAAACTAACTACTTTTAAACCCTTACACTTACTAAACCTAACCCCCCCAGCCCCCAACCCCAGCCTTGGAGGCTGGGGCAGCGGCGCCAGCAGCGGCACCAGCAGCGCCGATGTAGATGAATGTGATGATGATGATGATGATGATGATGAAAGCCTGTGAGCCTGAAAGCCTGAGGAATTAAACCCCCAACTTTAACCCTTTAACCCTGGGGGTTTTAGAGGCTTTAGGGTATTAGGGTTTGAGGTATAAAGGTCTTAAAACCCTGGGGGTCTTGCTGTAGGGTTAGGGGCTTTAAGGTTTCAGGTTTTAAAAACCCTGGGGGTCTTACTGTAGGGTTAGGGGCTTTAGGGTTTTAGGTTTTAAAACCCCCAACTTAAACCCTAATGGACTTAAAAACTGTAGTTTTGCATCGCAGCTTGCGTAGGAGTTTGTATGGTCGTGTACAGTCATCATGTTGTGTACTATATACCGCTGACTATTGTGCCCAAGCCCTCTGAGTAAAAGGTTAGCGCGACCGCTCATGGCTTAACGGTTTTGGTGTATTCTATAGGTTATCAGCCGTATTCGCTGACTTTGTCTCCGTGGTATTCTTACACTGGTATTCACACTGGTACATGAGTACTTCGCCCTCTCTGCTCACTACTGAGAAGGGAGAAACAACTGAAGTATCATCGGACGAGATGGACGACGAAACAAGAGATCGACTGCTTGATGAACAACTCACAGCAGCTGGCGCGGGCCCTATGGCATCGAGCTCAGGATCCCAAGCACTTGATAGGATCTTCGGTCCAGTGGGTCCTACCCTATCTCCATTTGTATCAAATCCAACGGTCGATATCTCAAACGTGCAGTATACCTTGTACAATGTTGTGAACCAGGGTGAAACAGCCGAACAACAAAGAATGGCAATAGAGCGAACGGAGGCAGATGCTGAAAGAAGACACGCAAGCATTCTGAACCAACAATCGCATGATAATCTTGTGAGAATGGCTGGCATGGCTGAACAGGCCGAGCGCCTTCATGAGGTGAAGATGGCAGAATGCGAAGCACAGTTTGCGGAATTTGAGTTCAACGCATCCCAAAGGGAAAAGTTTTTGTTGAACGAAGTTGCAACATGCAGGAATGAAATGAACATTCTGGAATCAATTTTCCAACAACGACATCAGTCGGAAATCGCTAAGCTCAGAACCACTCTGATTGCTGAAAGCGAACGCAACAAAGCACAACACCTTGACTTTCTTGGAATCCGATTCAAACAAGTCCTTGAAGAAACCGAAGCGAGTATGGAACGGCGTTTCATTACTGAAATCGCCGAAATGAGTGCACAAAACGACAGACTGCAGGATGAACTGGCTGCCGCAGAACGAGCCTTAAGAATGGAAGCCAATGCGGACGAAGCGGGCAAACAACATGCCACGCCGAAGCCAGGACCTAATCCTACTATCCCGTTCTCCAATCCATTTGAGATTCCCGAGAACATGAAGGACATCTTCGGAAGAACGCCGCAAGCTCAGGAACCTCCGCAAGGAACTTCTGTACCACCTGGGTTTGAGAACAGAGAGCCACAAAAGGAAAAGTCTCCTAAAGCTGCCCAAACTGGTAAGCCGGCGACTGTTGATCCAGACGGGGTTCCACATGTTGATTTCGGAGCTGAGGCATTGATTAGGGCAGCACGCTTGCTTACCCCTAAGACCGAAGAGGAAGAGGGCAAACCAAAGGTGAAAGAAGCCGAAAGCATCAAGCTTCCCGATTACCCTAATCCAGAGACCTACCGATCGTGGCGGATCTCGGTCCGCGAGATTGTGCGGGCTGCGAGCGATCGCCCGGATGAGGCATTTCGCTGGGTGCAGGAAGTATATGATAAAGAGGCTACCCTCAAGTCCTTACATGACACTGGGAAATTCTTAACATTGGACACGAAGTTGTTGGCTGCACTTACCAGAGTCGCTAGAGGAGAGATTTCAAGGCAAGTCCTAAACTTCAAGGAAACAGAGGCCACAGGAGGACGTGCCGTCAGGGGAAGACAAGTATTGTGGATGTTTCACCAACACTTTAAGACTAATGAAGAAGTCGGAAGCCTCTATAGCGTAGAGGACCTTTTAAAAGTGAAGTTGGTTGGGGACGACTTGGCTACCTTCCTTTACAACTTCGAGTCGGTGATTGCTGGAATGAGTCATGTTCCGGATGAGGTTACTTTGAGGGACATTTTGCTGAGGGAAATTCGGAAATCCCACCACATCAAGTACGATCTTCAGCTGTACGACAGGGCAAAAGAAGGAAACCCTGTACACACGTATGAATTCCTCGTCAATGCCATTAGGGAGCATCTGACTAGAGAGCGTATGCGCAAGAATCG